GAGGGGGTGAGTGTGAGAGGAGGAGGGAAGAGGGGGTGAGTGTGAGAGGAGGAGGGAGGAGGGGGTGAGTGTGAGAGGAGGAGGGGGTGAATGAGAGAAGGAGGGAGGAGGGGGTGAGTATAAGAGGGAGGAGGGGGTGAGTGTGAGAGGAGGAGGGAAGAGGGGGTTAGTGTGAGAGGAGGAGGGAGGAGGGGGTGAGTGTGAGATGAGGTGGGAGGAGGGAGAATAAAAGAGAAGTGTGGTTGAGAAGAGGTAGACAGGAGAGGATGAGATGAGGGAGGGGTGAAGGAGGGAGGGAGGAAGGAATAGGGAAGGTGAGTGAGGAGTGTGAGGGCTGGGAGGAGGTTGGGGTGCAGGAAAGTGGCCTTGGGGAGCTGAGGCTGGGCTGCACAACATGGCCCTGCAGCCTAGAGCCCAAGGCTGAGCCAGGGAGGCTCTGCTCCCCTCCAGGGCTGTGTAGGGCTTTCCCAGCCTCTCTGGAGATAATTTCTCTGGGATGGCCAAGGAAAGGTTGACAACAGAGCTCCTGGGTGGTCACTGAGGGAGAGGTCCTGGGAGGGCCTCGCTCTGCTCTCCCACACTGCTGCAGGGCAGACAGTTTAGGGAGAAGCCTGGCCTTGCAGAGCAGGCTCTTGTGAAGCTGCTGTCCCTAGCAGTGGCTTGCGAGGAAGGGGCTTTGCTAGTTCTCCTGAGGGGCCTGGGTCCCAGCTAGCAGGTGGAGGAGCTGGGCAGGAGGTAGCACTTCTGTGACTGCCTCGGCTCCAGGAAGAGGATTTGGAGAGCACCCACCCTTGCAAGCTGGGAAGGGCTTTGAAGTCACCCGCTGTCCTGTCAGGTGACTATCTCCTTGCCGGTGCCCTGTAAAGGAGGGGGAAGATGAGGAGGGATTGGGGGAGGACTGGAGCTTCCCTGTGAGAGGGTCTTCACCCGGACTCTATCCCACAGTCTGGTGTAGGCGGGCACCCCAGACTGCATCTGAGTTGACCTGGCACAGGCCTGCAGCATGGCAGTGAGCCATGCCCTCGCCTTGTCTCCGAGTCTCCTTTCCCATGGTGCCGCCACCACAGCTACCCTAAGGACACTTCAGATTTACAGTGAGCAAAGTCCCTGTTCCTAGGAGGATGGTGGTGTGAGGTCAGGAACACAGCTGGCTAGGGGGAGGAGCACACTGGGAGGAGCAGGGCTGGCTAGGGGGAGGAGCACACTGGGATGGGTGATCACGGCTCTTACACTCCCAGCCTGCTGACCTTGGGCTGCTCAGGTGTGCTGGTCTTTCAGCCCAGACAGGGGTAACTGTTCTCCGGGGATGGAGCTGTGGAAGAGGCAAGAGCTCAGTTCCCTAAGAATCACCAGTCCAAGCGCTGTGCCATGAGCCTAGTCCCTCTGGTGCTGGAGTGCTACATCCATCTGTTCTCCAGGAACTCCACACCTACAAGAGTGGCAGCAATAAACTCGGTGCTTCACAGGGCTGGAGGCGATGGTCCCTCTGGGTGCCGGGAGAAGAAAAAGGCAGGTTGGAGAGATGGCTCAGTGGGCAAAGATATGTGCTTCCGGGCCTGATGAGCTGAGATCAGTCCTGGGGGCCCGATCTACATGGTGGAAGGAGAGGACTGACTTCCACAAGGCCTCTTCCTCTGGCCTTCACCTTTGTGCTTTGCATCCCTCCCAGTAACTAAAAATGGAAATAAAAACTTCTTAAAAATTGTCATCCGCTTCCTTTATACTTGCTGAAAAGCCTGCCTTTCACTGAGATTAGGACAAGTTTCCTTGCAATACAGGTCTGAGTCCTGATATCTAAGGAGCCATGTGCAGTACAGTTTTGGGTAGCCTGCGAGTACTTGCTCCCTGTATTAGTACACTACGACATCTAACTAACTCTTCCATGGGGAAGAACATCACTCGACCATTCATCCCCATGCCAACAAGTACTGCTTGGATATCCATCCTTTGCCAGCTCGAGGTGTCTCACACCTGGCATATAGGGAAAGAATATTAAACTGGGTGGCCTCTGCTCCTGTATATATACTTTAAAGAGAAATGCTGCTTGTACAGAATAAATGAACCTCTCCTCTACATGCTATTGAAGGACCAGCTGCAACAGAGCTATTTTTTTTATTTTTTTATTTTTCAGACTTCTCAGGCTAGCGCAGGAATCGTGCCTTTATTTGAACTATTGTTTCTATTACAAAAGGTGTTGTAGCTTCCAAAAAGCCAAATTAAACATTTTAGGAACACTGACCACAGCTGATAGAAGTCTGTCATTGGATAACTGACAATATGTAAATAGTTAACGAAGGTTCCTTCCTACAAGTTTTTCCTGTGAGCGCATGGCCCAGGTAGGGTATACCAGAGACTGCGCACAGAAAGGGGACAACAGAGAAACACACGGCTCATGAGACGGCTCACCTGTAAGGGCCTGGATGCCAAGACTCACTTCACTGCCTGAGTTCAAGCCCTGGGACCCACCATTGGAGACAACTGACTCCTCAGGTTGTCCTCTGACCTCCACACGAATGCCACAGCATGAGTGCTGACATACATGCATAAATAAATAGAAAAAATGTGATAAAACAGAGAAAACACACCAAACGTGAGAGCAGATGGACAATACAAAACATTCTAAAATTCTTGTTCCTGATTAACTACTTTAAAAAAATGGACCCCCTGGGGAAAGTAACACAAAGGAATCCATGGTAGAGCTCTAAGACAAGGCGTCCTAGGAACTATCCTTTGAAACCACAGGCTTCAGATTCACAGATAGCTGAGTGGCTTCGTCAAGACTCCCTGGAGAGCAGTGAGATCCGGATGAGATAAATGCGGGCACACACCATCTTCGAGTCCCACGGGTGGGACACTCTGTTCTGCTCTGTATCTCTGGGCTCCTGCCAAGGGTGCTGGTGGCCACAGATGTATTTCCTCTTGGGCCTGCCCAGGCTTCACTCCGACCCCTTCCACTCTGTTGGTGGTAGCACAGCCTACGACTTTTGAGTTAGCCTTCGCTTCACAAATGGTGGAAATGGTGGGATGTGAGAATGTTTCAGGCTTGGCTGGTTTTGGTGATGCTTCTTGTTTTCTCATGTGCTCACTCCACCCCCCTTGTGCATGTCAAGCATCACGTGTGTGTGTGGAGTGTAGAGGCTGACATCAAGTACCATCCGCTGTTGTCCTCCTGTTTGTCTTCTGAGGTCGCTTCGAAGTCAGGGCTTATGACTGACTCGACAGCTGACGGGTGAGCTCCAGGGAGTCCTAGGGTCTCTGTCTCCCCAGCGCTGGGGTTATAGGTGTGTGTCATCATGGCCCATTTTTATGTGAGTCCTGGCACTTTAGCCACAGACAAGTTCTTCAGCCTTACCCCTTTATGAAAGAAGCCACAATTTAACAAGGATCTATTAATACTATTGTTTTTAATCACCTATTTTCAGTCTTAGATTATATTCAAGGACATAAAATACCGAATCCTTATGGACAATGGTGACATGAAAAATTTTAACAATGGTCACCCAAGAGCTGATGTGGTCACGAATTCACTGGGATTTGGATTTGCGATCTGGGTTCATGCCCGAAACTGCTCTTTAGTCAGCCTGAATGAGATTCATGGAACGGAGACGAGAGGGGCTCCATGAGATACGTGTTGATGGCCTCTGATGGCAAAGCAGACCAGGCATACATGAGAGGAGGGGAAGTGATGGCTCCATGTCCCTGGCTCTGTTCCCCCACAACTCTGTGTATCCCCAGCTCCATGCACCCCAATTTCTACTCCCCTAAAGTTCAATGGTCCCCCACAGCCCTGTACCCCTTCCAACTCTACATCCCTCCCCAGCTCCCTGCCTGCCACTAGTTCAGTGTTCTGGGAACCCAGAGCTGGTTCTGCACCCTGAGCTCAGGTTCAAGGTCTGTGTGGGCTGATGTGGCTCTGGATAGACTGCTTTTGCGAGCAAGGGACCAGTTAACCCAAACCCCACTCTTCTGCACCCTTTGAACAAGGCAGGGGACCCGCAGCCGTGCTGTCTGATGGCAATGGGTGGACAGCAACTATAATGACCAGCTGGCCTGGGAAGGGGCCAGAGCAATCTACCACACCACAAATGCTGTGCTAATTCCAGTACCCACACTCCCAACACCCTCATTTCATTTAGATCCCCCAGCTCCTGAGGAGGGAAGTGGGACTACTGAGAAAGTGTCCTTTTATTTTCCCATCTGTGTCAACTGGAGCATCCTGCCATAGGTCTTAGTGAGGATGGGGTTCCAGAGCTGTTGGAGGGCCCTGCAGGCTAGAAAAGTCAGGCCATGGTGGGATTCCCAACAGGTCAGATGACCTAGCACCAAGAACACGGCAAAGGAAGCCATTACTGAAGTGCTGGCAGCAGGTGAAGGCCAGGGGAGGGAGGGGCTCCAGGGCCACACTTTGAAAGGTGGTCAGCCAGCTGATGACGAGAGCCAGGCGGTTTGAGGGTGACCTGCAGAACAGGGTACTGAGGGTAGTTGGGGGACAGATTATGCCTTGGAGGTCTCCCTGTCTCGGCCACTTCCTGCCTCTAGTTGGGTGAAGAGGACACTAGCCCTTAATCCCAGTTGCTTCCAGGAGCCAGCCCTCTGCAGCAGGAGGCCAATCTGGGAAGGTCTAGAAGATGTAGTCAATGAAGGCAAGGGACATGCATGTCCAACTGAGAGTAGGAGCCCTGTGCCTGCTGATGTGTGACACTCACAGATGCACGTGTATGGATGTAGATGCACACAGATACACTCACAAAACCATCCCGTCAACCATTCCGTTCCCAGCACCGTCACAAGCATATATACACACACAGTTACACACATCAACACATACAGACCTTCTCAGTCATGCAGACATGCTGAGATACAGACAACCACACACATACACACCTCTTCTCCGCTCCTCATCCTGCACCTGACTTCATCCATACTCTGTTCCCAATGGATTGGCTGGGGAATGTGATGCTGTGGCCATTTCAGAGCTGACCCTGAGCCTTGCCAGGACTCTGATCGTTAAGAAAAGTACACAGTGAAGCACACTCAAAGAAAGGTGTGTAGTGAACAATCATGTTTAGTGTTTATAGAACAGACTCGTTCTTTACTGTTCAGTTCATTATGAACTGGAATCTCATTTAAGCCCTATAAGCCAACCCTGGCCTCAAGCAGCAGCAGCCTTGAGGGCCGACTATGTCCTGTACATGTCAGAAGGTGTCCAGTCTGAGCTATAAGCTGCAATAGCAGCCACGGCACAGGCAGGAAGGAAGACGTGACTGTCAGCTCTACAAAATCCAAGGGTCTGTACTCTGGGTTCTGTCCTGGGCAGCCTGTGGGTGACACTGCAGAGCGCAGAGCTTCCTGAAGGCACAGGCTGTGGGGCAGCAGGGCAGCTTCTGGAGGAACACAGTGCTATCTCCCACAGTGTGTGCACCCACACCACCACCTCCTCCAAGCAGTGAGTCGGCCAGCACAGTGACAGCTGGGGTGGGGCCTCCTGAGTGCCTAGTGAGGTCAGGGGACACAGCACAGCTGTGGCTTCCCTGCAAAGGCTCCTATGGTGAGTAAGCCTGGCCCATCGAACACAGTTCCTTTCTGAGCAAGGGCCCAGGCTTTGGGAGGATGTCCCTAGAGCTTGCTGTTCTTCTGGAACTGGGCCACTAGGCTGAGGACCTGCTCAGAGGCTTTGATGTTCTTGGAGCCCAGGTAGGCGATTCTGTTGGTGCCTGTCTCCTCCAGGTAGTAGCGGTAGTTGACCATGAGGCCACAGGAGCTAGCGAGGCCTCTCAGGCTGCTGTCAGCCATCCAGTTGATACGCCACATCACGGCCCCATTCTGCAGATGGAAGTTGGCCACTGGGTTGAGGGCGTAGCCTCGGTGCTTCTCACCATACAGGTACCAGGCACACAACCTCATCAGTGGCCCCTGCAGTGCCTGCACCAGTTTCTCTGACTTCACCCACTCACCACTGCTCAGGAAGCCCTTGAGGCTCTCGTGAACCGGGTCACCTGTGACCTCTGAGATTTCTTTGCATTCTGAGTCTGTGAATAGCTCGTTTCTCCCATGCTCCTTTCCCTGCACATTCAGGAGGCCAAGAAGCCACTTGGTGAATCCAGGTATAGGCGACAGGCTTGAGAAGGCCTCCAAGTGAGGAAACTCCTTCTGCACAGCAGGTAGGAAAAGGGAAGGCAGAGAGCACATGGTCAGTAGGGTGGTACACACACTGGAACAGTCCCCACACACAGCCTACGTGTGCTGCAGCCGGCAGCAGGGTCAGCTGACAGCATAGCTGTACTTTCTTTCTTTCAAGCCATGTCCACGAGGATGCTGGTGAGTGCCAAGGCCTGGAGGCATCTCACGTTCCCAAGATTAGCCTATAATCTCCAGTCACACTACTGACACAGTGGTGAAACAGAGGTCAGGAGTGGGCAGCTTGCTTACAAGTAGAGAGCTGGCCCTAATGATGGGCTGTGGGTTTTACTTTCTTTGCACCACACCTCTCCTAGGAGGATCCCAGAGCCAGGATGCTTGAGTGACATATAGATGACATGTTGTGTGACTGTCCAGCTCTACCTCAGTGGTGGTAGAGGGGACAGCAGGGTCAGTAAAGATGTATTACCACAGGACATAGCTTCACACCACCATACGAATCACATAGAAATCTTATGGATAGTCTTAAACATAAGCACTCCCTGGCTATAAACACAGTAAGCCCACTAT